AGACTCACCCACATTAATTTGACCATACAATTCGGTAGTGGTTATGCCAGAAATTTACCTTTCTCTTGATGGCATGCGACAGTGGCCAACTTAGTGAGGGTGCTTCTAATATCATTAAGAGTCTGAGTTATTTGATTATTGAAGTTAGTATGATTATTGTTGAAGTTGGTCTGACATTGTACAAATTGTTGCATTGCCTCCTCAAGTCTCTTCTTTAGAGATGGAATGTAAGGCACAAAATTAGAGGGGCCTTGTGGAAGTGGTTGTCATGTAGGATTATTCCCCCTCTAGTTGAAATTGGGATGATTTCATCACCCCCGATTGTAAGTGTTCGAATAGGGATTATTGCACTGCTTAGAAAACTTATTCGCAACATCTGCATGATAATGTAAGATTTTTTTGAAAACAAGAACTGTGGGGCACTCCTTTGTGAGATGTTCTAGGATCTCGCAAATACTACAAATCTCCTCTTGAGGAACAACTTGTACCTCATTACGCTTCCTGAATTCCTTGGCCTCAACTTTTCAAAATAGTGTGGCAACTCTAGCACCTAGGTCATCCTTCTCTCTCAACTAGTATTTACCTCCTCCTGATGAAGCACTTGAATTCTTATTTTTGGAAGAATCAAGGGATGAAGTATTCCAAGATTGGGCACTTTTAGCCAAATGATCAAAATAATCAAAGACTTCATTAAGTTCTTTGGCCATAAATTCTCCACTGCACATCATCTCAACAAATCAGGGCATTTGGGGTGATTAACTTCCATTTGAAAAAACTTATGATATGTTAGCTTCCATAGCCATGATGTGGGCAAGATGCAAGAAGATATTTAAAACATTCCTAGCATTAATAAAAGATTACATTCTCTTTTTGAGAAAAATTCATGATTTGTCTTTTTGAAGAATTTAGGGTGTGCGTGGGAAAATTTTTGTCAGAAATTCCTTCTGCATATCTTGCCATGTACCAATTGATCTAGGTCTAAGAGAGTGCAGCCAAGTATTAGCTTTATCCTTCAGTGAGAAGGGGGAAAACTTCAACTTAACTGTATTCTCAGTCACAGTTTGGTTGTGAAATGTAGCACAAACTTCTTCAAAGTCTCGAATATGGAGGTAAGGATTATTAGAGAGTCCATGAGATGACNATTATTGAAGTTAGTATGATTATTGTTGAAGTTGGTCTGACATTGTACAAATTGTTGCATTGCCTCCTCAAGTCTCTTCTTTAGAGATGGAATGTAAGGCACAAAATTAGAGGGGCCTTGTGGAAGTGGTTGTCATGTAGGATTATTCCCCCTCTAGTTGAAATTGGGATGATTTCATCACCCCCGATTGTAAGTGTTCGAATAGGGATTATTGCACTGCTTAGAAAACTTATTCGCAACATCTGCATGATAATGTAAGATTTTTTTGAAAACAAGAACTGTGGGGCACTCCTTTGTGAGATGTTCTAGGATCTCGCAAATACTACAAATCTCCTCTTGAGGAACAACTTGTACCTCATTACGCTTCCTGAATTCCTTGGCCTCAACTTTTCAAAATAGTGTGGCAACTCTAGCACCTAGGTCATCCTTCTCTCTCAACTAGTATTTACCTCCTCCTGATGAAGCACTTGAATTCTTATTTTTGGAAGAATCAAGGGATGAAGTATTCCAAGATTGGGCACTTTTAGCCAAATGATCAAAATAATCAAAGACTTCATTAAGTTCTTTGGCCATAAATTCTCCACTGCACATCATCTCAACAAATCAGGGCATTTGGGGTGATTAACTTCCATTTGAAAAAACTTATGATATGTTAGCTTCCATAGCCATGATGTGGGCAAGATGCAAGAAGATATTTAAAACATTCCTAGCATTAATAAAAGATTACATTCTCTTTTTGAGAAAAATTCATGATTTGTCTTTTTGAAGAATTTAGGGTGTGCGTGGGAAAATTTTTGTCAGAAATTCCTTCTGCATATCTTGCCATGTACCAATTGATCTAGGTCTAAGAGAGTGCAGCCAAGTATTAGCTTTATCCTTCAGTGAGAAGGGGGAAAACTTCAACTTAACTGTATTCTCAGTCACAGTTTGGTTGTGAAATGTAGCACAAACTTCTTCAAAGTCTCGAATATGGAGGTAAGGATTATTAGAGAGTCCATGAGATGACATTTAGGAAGTAATGCTATCATGATAGGTTTAAAAACAAAATTAGTGGCCTACAAAGGTAAAATAATGCATGATGGTGTAGTATGTCGTGAAGGCTATAGATATTTGCACAAAGTTTTACCATGATTAACATTTCAATTATCAACATTGTTCTCATCATGATTACTCCTCCTATCATCAGAGTTATTAGGATTATTTCTCCTATTAATAGGAAGATCATCAACCATCGTGTTATATGTATGAGATTGTTCAGGAGAATTAAATAAATTACCAAAACTTCTAAAGCTTCTCTAATTAAACGTTCACTTGAATTACGATGACAAGAACTCATACAAAAATTAAAAATAAAGGGGTACAAGTAGAGAACAATAAATTAAATAATAGAAAATTAAATATTAAAAAATAAAAGTGGAACAAAGTTTCTAGATTTTTGACGAATTGCAAACCAAGTAAATCTCAATCAATGTGACAGTGCACTCTTTGTCTTCCAAAAAGATCTCCAGCAACAGCGCCAAAAACCTGCTCCAACTTAAAATATGCAAACCCAAATGTCGTGAAGTAATGTATAACCCAGAAGTACACGATTGTAGCATATAAATTTGAGAAAAACTTAGAACACATAGAAAAATAAAATAAAAATACTTTGAAGTTGTTTGAAATTGGTTTTGTTCAAAAGCATAGAAATTGATTGAGTAAAAACAGTAATTTGAAATATTTAATCATTGAGGATACCCTTTAAAAACCACACAAAAATTATTAATAATCTAGTTTTCAATTGGGAAATCAACTAAGATGATCCCAATCAGAATATTTTGTGGTGATAAAATGNTCATGATTACTCCTCCTATCATCAGAGTTATTAGGATTATTTCTCCTATTAATAGGAAGATCATCAACCATCGTGTTATATGTATGAGATTGTTCAGGAGAATTAAATAAATTACCAAAACTTCTAAAGCTTCTCTAATTAAACGTTCACTTGAATTACGATGACAAGAACTCATACAAAAATTAAAAATAAAGGGGTACAAGTAGAGAACAATAAATTAAATAATAGAAAATTAAATATTAAAAAATAAAAGTGGAACAAAGTTTCTAGATTTTTGACGAATTGCAAACCAAGTAAATCTCAATCAATGTGACAGTGCACTCTTTGTCTTCCAACAAGATCTCCAGCAACAGCGCCAAAAACCTGCTCCAACTTAAAATATGCAAACCCAAATGTCGTGAAGTAATGTATAACCCAGAAGTACACGATTGTAGCATATAAATTTGAGAAAAACTTAGAACACATAGAAAAATAAAATAAAAATACTTTGAAGTTGTTTGAAATTGGTTTTGTTCAAAAGCATAGAAATTGATTGAGTAAAAACAGTAATTTGAAATATTTAATCATTGAGGATACCCTTTAAAAACCACACAAAAATTATTAATAATCTAGTTTTCAATTGGGAAATCAACTAAGATGATCCCAATCAGAATATTTTGTGGTGATAAAATGAAAAAATCAAAAGTTATAACCAATAAATTATTCAAATAAATCTAAGAATTTGTTGATGCACAAATTGGTTTTATGCACCACCTGTCGAGTAATTAGTAATTAATGCAGTAATTAAGAAGAGAGAGAGAGAGTTAACACTAGCAAGACAAAGATGTAAAGTGGTTCGATTAACGTGACCTACTCCATTATGAAGGGTTACAATGGCCTGGTGTTTTATTACTTCAAGGAGTGTAAGGAGATTAGGAGAGAGCAGAGGAGGTGCAAGCTATGAGAGAAGTGAGAGTGACACAAGATGTGCTCGATGCCCCTATGTATTGGCGGGGCTTACAATTTATAGTATCTCCTGACAGACTAAGGCGCCTTTTTAGTAACTAAGTAGCTAATTTGGTGGAACTGGTGTTATCCTCTCAAAATGACTGAGGCAGTTACAGAGCTCCCTTGAGATCAGGTCAAAGGATGATGTGGTTGACTTCTTCCAAGGCGGCGTGGATGAGGCTCTTGGAATGGCGTTGCCTACTCCTTGAAGGTGTAGCTCCTAGAACCCTGATGAGCCTGATTGGGTGTGGGCCTCTTTTGGGTTGAACCCATTGGGTTTCATCTAGTTGGGTCTTTATTCAAGTTGGGCTTATAACCTGAGTTGTGCCCTTAAGCCTGGCCCATCATTTGCCCCCAAATGCCCNAGTAAAAACAGTAATTTGAAATATTTAATCATTGAGGATACCCTTTAAAAACCACACGAAAATTATTAATAATCTAGTTTTCAAATTCAATTGGGAAATCAACTAAGATGATCCCAATCAGAATATTTTGTGGTGATAAAATGANAATGCTATCATGATAGGTTTAAAAACAAAATTAGTGGCCTACAAAGGTAAAATAATGCATGATGGTGTAGTATGTCGTGAAGGCTATAGATATTTGCACAAAGTTTTACCATGATNAGGGCATTTAGTTGAATTTAGATTCTAGACAAAGACCCCTCTTGACTGATGACTCCTTTTTTTTTTCTTGAAAGAGTTCACCAGACGTCTCTAGCTATACAAATTCCCCCCATTCTATTTCCTATTAGNTTGCACAAAGTTTTACCATGATTAACATTTCAATTATCAACATTGTTCTCATCATGATTACTCCTCCTATCATCAGAATTATTAGGATTATTTCTCCTATTAATAGGAAGATCATCAACCATCGTGTTATAANTATTAGGATTTCAAAAAGCTTTACGCTATAAATTGGGAGCTTTTCCTTTTCTCCTCATTTCATTCATCTTGAAAGAGGATTCTTCTTCTAGATATTCAAAAACCCAAGTAGGATAAGTGAGGCTAGAGACCTTGCTCCTGAGATAATTTCTTAGAGATCAATATCATGTGAAGGAGAAAGGACGCAAAGGTTTGTCGGTGAGGATGTCAGTGGCGATGGAGCAATCGGCACCAAGGGAGGTGGTGAGGCGGCTGTTGGTGTGGTGGTGACTGAAAGAGGAGGCATTGGCAAGGAAAGGACCCCAGTCAACATAGGCGAGGCGCCATGGGCGTTGCCAAGCAATACACCATGAGGGCCCTCGGGCAAGGCACCATGCGCATCCTTAAGCGAGGCGTCCTGGGCGTCCTCAGCCGAGGTACCATGCACGTCTTCTGGCGAGGCACCATGGGCATCCTTAGGCGAGGTGCCATGCGCACCGTGTGGCGAGCGGGTGGAGGCTCCATTTGGTGAGGTTGATCGCGGAACAAGCATGATAGAATCAACACTTCTGTGTGTTGGACAAGGATTGATGAGTGCGAAGGTGGCCTTGCCAGGCACTGGGCGTGGCCAAGCAAGCGCGCAGGCGTCGCTGGGTGCTTAGCGCAGGCAGGCAAGCGCGCAGGCAGCACTGGGCGAGTTAGGCATGGCGGCGAGAGTTGGGGACGGAGCCATGGAGCCTGGGCACGGAGTTATGGAGGGGAGTACGCGAGGAGACGCTAGTATTTCTGGTGGCAACGATTCTGGTCAAACGGCAGATGATATGGTTCGTTCAAGTGGAAATCGATGGATTTAGATCCCTCAAGGCTCTCTTGGTAGTGGCCCAAACAATGTTTCTCTTTGTCCTCGCAACAGCAAATATCGAGGAAAGGTAGCTCTTGATGACGACAGATCCAAAGTAAGTACCATTTCTAGTACCCTCAGCACTGACGCTGATATTCTTCAAATTATTTTCACTTATAATATTCTTCCAACGTTGTTGTATCGCCGAACTGAAATGGGTGAGCCTACTTATTAGTACAAAATATTGCACTTCATTTATACATTTGCACCCNTTGTTGTATCGCCGAACTGAAATGGGTGAGCCTACTTATTAGTACAAAATATTGCACATAATTTATACATTTGCACCTTTTTTTATACTTACTTTTGTGGTAAAAATGGGAGAAATTGCAATATTTCTAACAATTAATGAGATTTTGGTGTGTTCGTAGGCAAAGAGTTGGAAATGACATGAGTTAAGCCTCCATCGTAGTGCTCAAAGTCAACGAAGATGAAGGGGAGGCTTGACTATGGTTTAGAAGGTGAAAAGACCAAGATTTGAGCAACAAGTAAAAAACTACGGGTAAGTTTGCTTATAAAACTACCGGTAGGTTTTTGTTTACTGGAATTGGATCTTTTTCAAACCTTCCAGAAGGTTTTGGCTACTGGAGTAAAACCTACCGATAGGTTTGGCCATCNGGCAAAGAGTTGGAAATGACATGAGTTAAGCCTCCATCGTAGTGCTCAAAGTCAACGGAGATGAAGGGGAGGCTTGACTATGGTTTAGAAGGTGAAAAGACCAAGATTTGAGCAACAAGAAGTAAAAAACTACGGGTACGTTTGCTTATAAAACTACCGGTAGGTTTTTGTTTACTGGAATTGGATCTTTCGCAAACCTTCCGGAAGGTTTTGGCTACTGGAGTAAAACCTACCGATAGGTTTGGCCATTGAACTATAGGTAGGTTTTGCTGAAAAAATGCTGAACTTTGCAACTCAACTCCAATTGCTTGGGGGCCCACCTACATTTCTCCCACACCTACCTTGACATGTTCTATCAACAACCTTGCTATTCTTACACAAAATTCTGACTATGGAAGAGAAGACAAGGGAGAAGAGGAGAAAGAAGGAGAGAAGGTTGGTCAAGGTGCAGGGGAGTATAGGGCATGCCTGCACCTTGCTTGTGCAGGCTTCCAAACCTCCCTAAATCATTTAATCTCTACATCACACATACTATATGCTCCATGGATGAAAATTACACAAAGACTTTACACATTACACAACATAGTTTAGCACTTTTAGAGAGAGAAGCTTCCAAGGTAGAAGATAGAGTTTTAGAAAGAGAAAGCTTAGATTGTTGCGTTTCCTTCACCCATTTCCTTTGTAGTAAGTTATATTCCACTAGTAATCTTTATTTCTTGCATTGTAATCTCTTCTATTTCAAGTGTAATCAAGTTTAATTAATTGTTCTTGCACTTCATTAATTTTGCTGGGTTTCTCTGCAACTTTTTCAATTTGGTATGAAATAAATTTCTCTTTGTAGTTACTTCTTCCTAGCCTTAATATATGTTCTAAGCTTCATTCTCATATAATTTTCATTTGCATTTCATCTACATGTCTCTTTACATTATGAATGCTTTTACTTCAACCATGAGTAGCTAAGATTTTTTGTTGGCTAATCCAAGGGGAACTTCCTCTTGGGTATGCTAAATTAACTCTTCTCCATTCTACATAGTAGTGTAAAGTGTTTGGTTTTACTAGGTTGAGTGCGTACGTGGTTGTGAGCTCTCGATACACTGTAGACTTGTCACGAGGTATGCTTGAGCCTACATTCCACATTAGTCTGTCACTTTCTACGAATGAATCAAGCACTTGTGCACCATTGGTTGAATGAATTGAGTTGACTTGGCATTCCTATTAGAATGACCTCTTTGGATTATCCATCCTTGTTTTTATTGCATTTCTACAACCAATCTTCGCTCACCAAAACACCAATTCACAAGATTTTTACACTTTTTGTTTTTACCAAATTACCTTCACCACAATTCAACCTTCCTTGAGGGGACGACCTTGAAATACTTAATTCAAAGTAAAACACGACACTTGAAAGTCTCTCTATATTTGGGGAGCACTTTTGTACACACACATATTTTCATCCACACAAATATTGACCCAATTTCTAGCATCAAACCCAACTGAGAGTGACGCTCACCTATCCGTATAAGCCATACACACATAAAAGAGATAATGGCCAAAGATTAGGGTCAACGGAATAAGCACCAAGCAACTGCTTGTGATGACTCCTTTAGAGACATTGCTATTTATGAGTATGTACTCGAGACTAGGCTGAGGTTTCTCATGCCTTCTTATGTTTGTCATATTCTTCATTGTTTTTCACTTGAGCCAGGGCGCTTAGCGCCCAATGGTTGGAGAGTCCTACTGGGATTCTTAGCACTGTGGAGGAAGGTCCATCATGAGGATGGTTCTCCTGAAGAGTTTTGTGCAGCCTACACTTTGATTAAGACTCTTGCTCCTAATCGTGGTTGGTATTATTTTGCTTCGAGGAGAGGAAAATGGATTATTGGACTCGTTCTAATTGCCATAGTTGGAATGTTCNGGCTGAGGTTTCTCATGCCTTCTTATGTTTGTCATATTCTTCATTGTTTTTCACTTGTGCCAGGGCGCTTAGCGCCCAATGGTTGGAGAGTCCTACTGGGATTCTTAGCACTGTGGAGGAAGGTCCATCCTGAGGATGGTTCTCCTGAAGAGTTTTGTGCAGCCTACACTTTGATTAAGACTCTTGCTCCCAATCGTGGTTGGTATTATTTTGCTTCGAGGAGAGGAAAATGGATTACTGGACTCGTTCTAATTGCCATAGTTGGAATGTTCGCTTCATGTTTGTTGGAGGAGACTGGACTTCAAAGACTGACAAGGTTTTGGTACCAGCAAGATGGGACACTCCCAAGAGAATTGGTATGCCCGCTCTTTTTTCTTTTTCCTTTGTCTTTTTTAGGAACGTGTGCTCATCACATTTCTTTCAAGCTCCCATTTCTTTCAAGCTCCAGGTGCTCTCAAAAAAATAGGAATGGAAATTGCAAGCTGTGAAAGCTCACCTTTTGAAGGACTTTGGGACTCTTATGCTCAAAAAAGGTAGAGCTAGAGACTCTCCCGTTGGAAGTGCNACTCCCAAGAGAATTGGTATGCCCGCTCTTTTTTCTTTTTCCTTTGTCTTTTTTAGGAACGTGTGCTCATCACATTTCTTTCAAGCTCCCAGGTGCTCTCAAAAAAATAGGAATGGAAATTGCAAGCTGTGAAAGCTCACCTTGTGAAGGACTTTGGGACTCATGCTCAAAAAAGGTAGAGCTAGAGACTCTCCCGTTGGAAGTGCTAAGGTTGGTGCATCCCCTTCTAGGGCTGGCGGTTCCTCCTTGAAGAGGAAAGGTATGTTGATTTCCTTAGGATTCTCTTCCTTTACTTAGTTTTTTTTCCAAGGTAACACTCTACCCCTCCGTAATGGATATGATGATGGTGGAATCCTGTTATTCCACTAGGAGTACTCCCCCACCTAAGATGGCTAGGATGAGTGATGCTCTAGCGAGCCCTTCTCAGATGATCCCATCAGTGGCCCCTCCCCAGTCAGTGGCTCCCTCNTCCTGTTATTCCACTAGGAGTACTCCCCCACCTAAGATGGCTAGGATGAGTGATGCTTTAGCGAGCCCTTCTCAGATGATCCCATCAGTGGCCCCTCCCCAGTCAGTGGCTCCCTCAGAGGTTACTATGGTGACCGTCCCTTCAAAGACTCCCCAGGCGGCTATACCTCTTGTTCCCCATTCTTCAACTCCTCTTGAAAGGACTTCCACAGGGGCAGCTACTCAGATTGTCTCCATGTTGGATGATGTTCGAATTATTAGGGAGCAACTCAAGAGATTTGTGTTTCCTGCACACATCAATCAGATTGATGCTCAGGGCACTAAGAGCATCATTGACACTGTTTTGGAAGGCCGGGCCCAAGTAAGGATCTATTTTCTCCCTTGCTCTTGTCCCTCCCTTAGGCACCAACATTCTTTTATCTTTTTTCAAGTTTCAGCTACATCTGTATGCCTTTTTTCAAGGGTTGTTCAGTTCAGCCAGCTGAGCTCAACTATCACGGAGGAGAGGCTTGATCATGAAGTTGTGAAAAGGGAGATTCTTGTTGCTCAAGGGATAATTATTGAGTTTGAAGCTAATGGTAAGACTTCCCAGGTTGAGCTTGTGGCAACTCGTGAGAGGGTCGTGCTCAGAGCGACTGCTTGCATGAGGGCCAAAGTAGAACTTGTGACAACCCACGAGAGGGCCGCTAAGCTTGAAGTAGAGATTGTGGCAACCTGCGAGTGGGTCGCTAATCTCGCGACAAAAGGTGAGGTTGCCCACTTGAGAGCGGAAACAAAGTTAAAGGCAACTCGCGAGGGGATTTTCTAGGCTGAGGCAGATCTATGATTGGCTCATGAGAGGGCCGCCAAGGCTGAGGCTGATTCAAAAAGTGGTCTTGCAGATGCTTTCATTGATGACTAAGAGGAGCTTCGGGGACAGATTTTTACAGTTTTTCCTCATATTGACTTTTCAGGCTTTGTGCCGTATAAGGCGCCTAATGATGTTGATGGTGATGATGGTGACTCTGACGATGTAGGGGACGATGAGGAGGAGGATAACAACCATGAGAGCAATTAAAGTGTTGGGGACTTTAGATTTTTTTTATT